CCCCCCCCCCCCGAGCTCCCCCCGCCCCCCTGCCTGACCTGCCACCCCAACTGGGCTCTCGGGTCCAGCTGCTAGTAGCCCTGGCCCGGCTGGAGGTGGGCTCCAAGGCGCCCGGGGCAGGTTAGGGACTCCGGATTCGAACTCACCACTTGCCACTCCCCGCGGGGCCTGCATATCTCCATGCTCTGGCGCTTCGGGGAAGGCCACTTGGGTAGCCACCTAAAGGGTTTTGCAGTCTCCTTAGTTATCTATTCCCTGAGTCCCGACCCTTCTTTCTCGCTTGCTGAAGTGCCCTGGACCAGAGGGTGATTAATACATGCTAAAGTTAATGAAACAGAGCGGACAGGCGAGAGGCTCCTCTGTCCTCTGGACATCTGTCTCATTTTCCGCCCAGATCACTGGGGTCAGAGCTTGAGACGCTAGGCTCAGGAAGCAACGCAGCCCTGCCAGAGAGCTTAGGGCCTGGAAAGCCTGCCTTCCAGACCCTCCCGGCCCTGCCACTAACTGTGGGAATGGGCAGTTGAGTTCTCTGGGCTCCAGGGTGCCCATTTTGGAGGTGGAGTTGTTGTAGGGAATGAAATGAAATGATGGATAGCAAGGTGTTTTGCAAGCCAAACGCAAGGCATTGTTTGTCAGTCATAAGCAGCAGTGAAGGCAAGGACTCTGGCGGAGAGAGACACCCTGGGTTAGAAGTGCCGTTTTTCTGTGGCAACCCACCAGCAGCGAACTGAGTTTTTTCTTGTTGGGTGGTAGAGTGGGGAGAGGATTTCAGCTGATGGACGTGGGCCCTGAGACCCCAGTGTCTTCTTGTTGTTTGTCAGAAAGAGAATTGCTACCCTGGGGACTGTCCCAGGAAGACAGTGAATGTGAGATTACAAGGTCAGTCAAGCCTCTCTGGCGGATTAAAGAGACACTGTGGGGCGTGGAGAACTGGCTGATGTGCTCATCCCTTAGCCTTCCTTTGGGAATGTCGCTTTGGTTCTCTTCTACCCAGGAGACCTCCTCTGAGAATGTCCAGACTTCTGACACTTGATGGCCCAGATTGCCTTGCAGTTTCAGCTGGGCAAGGAGCCTCTGGTCCCTTTGCTTGATGCAAATGAACTGTGTGAATGCTTGTTTCATGGAGGCACCTTCATGGATACACTTCTTTAGACACTGACAAGTTTCTCGGTCTCTTGTAAAGCCTCCTCCGCCCGCCCCCCTCCCCAGTGTTAGTGGTGGGATCTTGTTTTCTTATTGGCTTTCTTGACCGGGGCCTGGATCCCCCAAAACGTGTGTCTGTGGCCACATTTTGAAGGAACCTGGAAAAGAGTCCGTGCAAGTTCAATGGCACAACAGCCTGTGTGAAGCAGAGAGTTAATGCAGAAATAACTCCAGTTAACTGGGTCAAAGTATAATTTGAAAAATTAAGGACAGTTTGGCTCTTTGCAAGTATAAGAGTCGGCATGTTTGCTGAACAATGCTTGCTTAGGTTTATTGCTGCAGTCCCCCCAAAAATGTCTTGAACCACATCTCTCCCCCCGCTGAAAAGAAAAAGTTAAAGGGATAAAGAGAAATTGAACGGGGAGGAGTCCTGGGGAAGGAATTCTTCTCAGTTTATATTTCTGCACAGAATACAAAGACAGGGCTTCAGATCTTGTAAATCAAAAGTGAATATTTATAAAGCGATTCATTTTCTGATGTTCTCCATCACAGCCTGGGAGGCCACACAGATGACAGGAACGCCAAAAGAGATTAATTGCTCTCTCGTCACCAACTTTTCTATTTGCTCATAACATTAGTCGGGACCCAAGAAAAGCAAAAAAAATTCTGAGAGCCGTTTTCTTGCCAGCTTGAGTTATGAAGCAATGCTACTGTTCACCGAACCGCCCCCCCATCATACAAGAAAAATAACCCTGTTGGTTCTTGCATGGGGCGACCTGAAAACTGTGGTTTCAAAACTACCCCCTGAGATCCATATGTGATTGTGATAAATTGGATTTCAGCGGTTAGAAAATCTTTCTCATTTGAAGGCTTGGGGGATAAGCTTATTAAAGTAGGCTCAGAAAGAACTTCACTGGGGTGGGCAGCTGTGTTAAACTGTTCATGGAAATGATTTGCTTCAGAGGGCAGGGACGTTCTGAGTGATTGAAGCTGGGCCACAAGTTCATAGAAGGGACCAAGACATCAGAATCGAGGCCTTTGGGAGGCTAGGAACATGTTCATGATCAGTTCTTCTTTGGTTACGTAGCCGTAATTTCAAGCAATGGCTTTCAAATTACCCAGACAAGTTCATAGCATTTGAAGTATCTGTATCATGCCCCAAAAACCGTTCGGTTCTCCAGAATGATTATGTTGTATTCCTGCCAATTCTTTATACTCAATATTTAGGTTGGCCCCTCAGAAAAGATCAATGCACTCAGTTCCCATCCGGGGTTAACCCTGGATTGAAATGTGGTGTTTTTTGAACATTTAAATATGTTCAGATCATCCATTGGAACGTTTTTGCAAACTCTAGTGTCTATGGAAATGACCTGTGACTGGATCTGAGCTCTAGCAAATGTTCTGTGTTCTAAGGCTCGAAGGTTTAAGAATTTCCACCGCTTAGACTAGAAATGCAAGTCTCCTGCTTTTCAGAATTATAGTTGCTCTGATGGCCTTTGGCACAGCAGTGTAAGGCAAACACGTTACCTATTTAAATTGGCCTAATTTCCTTTGAGGATGGCCCGTTATAAAGTTCCGTTCCACAGTGGACTTCATGTGAAAGCAATGTCTGAACGGTAAAGGTATTTAAGTGCATGCATTTGCTAATTACATCTGTCTTTTCCAACATAAGTAGCCAAACTGAAGATCTTTATAGATCTTATGGAGGACACAGGAGAAGTATTATTAACCAATTTGTGCCTCATCGCTGAAGCTAACATGGGTGAACTTTCATTTCAGAAATTGTTTGGGTCCCGTGCCTACTATTTTTATCTTGGTTGCCAAAGTAGCTGTTTTGCAAATCCATTTCCCTTTTCTCCCAAAGAAAATCTCCTGAGAAATCAACTCTAATTCTGTTAAAAGGAAGATTTCAAAATTTATTTTTATTTTTCTATGACTTGCCTGTAAGGATTTTTAGCCTTAGCATTGGATGGGAATGCCTGTTCATCTGCTTGAATTTCCCCCCACGATCTTTGCAAGACCGAAGAGGCAAGTTCTCTTTCTGACACGGGAAAACAACGCTTACGCTTACATAAGTTCTC